TGCTTTGGAAGTTTGGGAGTGGCTGAGCTGGGTGGTTCTGGCTCTGGGTCTCTCAGGAGGCTGCATCAAGGTGTCAGCCAGGACTGTGGTCATGTGAATCAGACAGATTGGAGGATCTGTTTCCAATATGGCTCCCTCACACGGCTGCTGGCCGTTCCTCACTTCTATGTCCTCTCCACAGTGCTGCTTGAAGGCCCTCACACTATGGCTGCTGGCGTTTCCAGAGTGAGTGATCCCGGACCGAGCAAGGTGGAAGCAATGCTTTTCATCACCTTCTCTCAGAAAGTGACACACCGTCTCTTCCGCATTTTACTTATTGGAAGGGAATCACTAAATTCAGCCCGTGCTCAAAGGGAGGAGAATTAAGCTCCTCCACTTAGAAAGGAACATATCGCACAATCTGTGGATTTTAAAACCACTGCAAGTCCAAAGCATTATTTACTTATTTGTTAACAACTTACCAGTGCCCACTGTACCTTCCATTGTTTTTAAATTGTTTTTAAATCAGCAAGATAAATATCTGTCAAATATCCAGGCAGAGAACTAAATCATACCAATTTCTGGAGGGGCAGGCCCACTTATGGTTAAGTTTCCTGAAGATAAATTTCACAACCCCCTCCCCCCAAAGCTCAAAACATTTCTTCTTAGTCCAGAGGATAAAATAATAACTTATGAAGGAATAACATAATAATCACTGTGCCAAATATCCTTCTTTTCCCCAAGTATCTATTAATCTTAACTTCTTTCCTGCACAGAATCCAATCCATGGTAAAATACTTTTACCTCATCCTTACTTAAGGGCCAGACGTGCAGTATAAAAACTGTACATATCTTCAGTACACGCCATACTGTAATTGTTTCCACCTAATAGATTATGGACTCTGAGAAACAAACTGAGGTTTCTAGAGGGGAGAAGGGAGGGGAGATGGGTTAGCCTGGTGATGGGTATTAAAGAGGGCACGTTCTGCGTGGAGCACTGGGTGTTATGCACAAACAATGAATCATGGAACACTACATCAAAAACTAATGATGTAATGTATGGTGATTAACATAACAATAAAAAATTAAAAAATAAAATATTAAATATGAAAAAAATGGTACTAAAAGAGTTTGAAAAGCACATATAGATATTTTATGAGTTACACACTCGTGTCACTTTTTATGGTCATATCACATACTTGATGTCTAGGAGTGGCTTCCATCTCAACAAATCCTGCAAAAATTTTCTATAAAGCAACACTCTTTGTTTTATAAATATAAACTTTCATATACACTGCCACTTCTGGAATTCTCCATACCAACAATGTGGAATACTTCTAAGAACCAGGGAATACTCCAAAGGAATACTGCTAAGAACCAGGGAATAATCCAGTCTCCCAGCAGCCAACAGATGTCCCAGTCCCCACTGCCCAGTAGACCAACAACTAAAAGGAGAGAACTGGAAGCCTAGCACAAGAAACTCAAAGGAGATTTGTTAAGGGAACCAGTAAAACCCATGCATTTTACTGCAAAGTAAAAGAGTTTTTTTCCCAGAACCTCACTCCTCTTTCCTACCTTACACACTAGTCCTAGAAACCTTCTAATCTGAATTCTAATCTTACACATCAGAAAGTAGAACGGATTCAAGAAAATTCATTTTTGGTGAGCTGATGAAATTAACAAGTGGCAGTAAATTTATAAAGTGTTGGAAAAGAGACAAACCACATCATTCTTGGGGCCAGTGTAGGAACAAGCAATGCACTACAACTTGAGTTTATGATTATAACTGTGGAATTATAAAGAAATGGTTATGTTCTCCATACTATTTAAGAATGTGACGTATTTTGGAAATATTGTTGCTTAAACAGATATGTCTCTTCAGGCAAGGGAAACAAAAGGAAAAATAAACCATTGGGACTACACCAAAATAAAAAGCTCTTGCACAAGAAGGAAACCATCAACAAAATGAAAAGGCAACCAACTAAAAGGAGAAGACATTTACAAATGATATTATTTGATAAGGAGTTAATATCCAAAAAATGTAAAGACCTTATACAACTTAACACCAAAAAACCCCAATCCAATTAAAACATGGGCAGAGAACCCGAACAGACATTTTTCCAAAGAAGACATACAGATGGCTAAGAGCCACATGAAAAGATGCTCATCACTCATCACCAGGGAATACAAATCAAAACCACAATGAAATATCACCTGCACCTATCAGAATGGTTAGAGTCAAAAAGGTAAGAAATAACAATTGTTGGCAAGGATGTGGAGTAAAGGGAACCCCCCCCAATACATTGTCAGTGGGAACACAAATTAGTGCAGCCACTGTGGAAAACAGTATGGAAGTTCCTCAGAAAGTTAAAAATAAAAATACCTTATGATCCAGCAGTTACACTACTGGGCATTTACCCCAAGAAAACAAAAACACTAATTCAAAAACATATATGCATCCCTATGTTTATTGCAGTGTTATTTTATTTATTTGAAAGAGAGAGGGGGAGAGAACATGCACAGGATCGGGGGGAGGAGCAGAGGGAGAAGGAGAAGCAGACTCCCTGCTGAGCAGGGAGCCCGACTGGGGCTCAATCCCAGGACCCCAGAATCATGACCTGATCCGAAGGCAGACACTTGACTGAGCCACTCAGGTGCCCCTACTGCAGTGTTATTTATTATAGCCAAGATATGGAAGCAACCCAAGTGTCCATCAATAGATGAATGGATAAAGAGATTATATATATATATATATATATACACATACATATATACAATGGAATGTCAGTCATAAAAAAGAATGAGTTCTTGCCATTTGCAACAACATGGACCTAGAGGGTATTATGCTAAGTGAAATACATCAGGTAGAGAAAGACTAATACTATATCACTTCACGTATAAGTGGAATCTAAAAACACAAACAAAAACAGAAAACAGACCCATAGATACAGAGAACAGATGGTTTCCAGAGGGGAGGGGGATGAAGGGTAGCCAAAATGGGTAACGGGGAGTAGGAGGTACAGTCCTCCAGTTGTAGAATAAGTCATGGGGATGAAAGGTGCAGCATAAGGAACATAAGCAACGGTATTGGTACAGCATTGTATAGTGACAGATGGTAGCTACACTTACGGTGAGCACAGCGTAACATAAACTTGTCAAATCTCTATGTTGTATACCTGAAATTAATGTAATTAATTTTAAAAATTTCAATTTTAAAAAATTGTTTTTAAAAAATAAATTTTAAATTAAAAAAATATTGTTGCTTAAAAAGGATAAGTTCTTAATCATTGGGGAAACACAGCTATTTAGAAAAACGAATTGCGTGAGGGTTTCAAACAATTAAAGCTTGATAGATACTTCAAGCAAATATTAACTAAAAAAATAATTTTACTACTGTCACTCATGTTAAACAAGTGTCCTCAATTAGTTGTGCTAATTTTCCTTTCCTTTATTTTTTTTAAACCATGATCTTATTTTTGAGATAGTCCAGGGCAGACTCCTCCCCAGCCCCACCCCACCATCCACATATCCATAATCAGTATGAAATAAACAGTAATATTCTTGGTAAGAAACTTCAAATTTTACAGAAAGATAAAAAAATGAAAAGTTCAAATCTTCCTAGCTTCTGCCCACCTCCTGCACCCGACATTCAAACCTGACAGATGCAGACACACCTAGTTCCTCAGCAATAAGCACTTCACAAGTTTGTATGCAGTCTTTAAAAAACAATGCATATAAACACGTGTCCCTTAGGAAACATATAGTCACCATAGGATTTATCCGTTCCTCAGTCATCAGTTCACAATTTTAACACGTAGGATTTTTTGTTATTTTTCTCTTCTCCCTTCAAATTCTGAAAATTAAGCTTAAAAACCTGACCAAACTTTACTTCCTAAATACTTTTCCTTTGTGTTAAAAACAAAAGCTGAAAAGAGTATCCCAATTTCTAAGATTGATAGATCTCCTACTCAGACAGCAAGAAGAGTAATTTTTCTCCTACAAAACCTTGGTTTTTAACTGTAACTTAAGTTTTTCAAAGGGCACATTTTTCACCTAATTTAGTTCAATTCAAAATGTAATTGAGTATCTACTATGTGCAAAACACGACCGACAGGCAGACACAGCCCCTACCCAGGAAGAGCTTAGTGCCAGTGTGGTCAAGGAGGGAAGGCGGGGGAGACAAAGACTGCTATAACTTACCTAAGGCTGAAGAGGAGGCTGGGACCGTGCCTGGTGAAATGGTGAAAGGTAAGGGACAGCAATGGCGCGCCAAGGCCTGGTGATGCAACTCAGCTTTTTTATTTAAGTATGGTGAGTTTTGCGCCTCATTCCAATGTGAACTGACAAAGACCTGTCTGCTGGGTTTATTTCAAAATAAATGACAAACAAGCAAGTGCCACCACCTGGCATTTCACAGTGAGGATGAAGTTCTAACACACCTGCCGGCTGCCAGCACCACCCACCTGGAGCAATGCAAGACAGCAGTTGGCACTCACTCTTGTTTGCTTCCCAGCCTCCTTCCCGCTTCATCACTGCCTTCTTCCCTCCATTCTAAGCTGTCTGAGCTTGACTGCTTCCAAATGATTTTGATCACTACTACATGACAATGGGACAGTGGATGTGGATTAGAAAATGACAAAGGAAAGTCAAACAACAAACAACACTTTTCATCACTGTGCAGATACTTTCACAGGGGATTTTTCCTCTGTAATTCTTCAAAACGTTCTCTCCTTACCTAAGGTAGCATGGAGTATAACACCCTGGGGTCATACCCAGATCACGAAGGTAAAAAAGAAATGAATGAATTCAGATGCTTTAAAAAAAAAAAAAAAGGTGAGGAAAGAGTCAATTTAAAGATCCACTTTTTTTTTTAAGATTTTTATTTATTTATTTGAAAGAGAGACGGAACACAAGCAGGGGGAGTGGGAGAGGGAGAAGCAGGGATCCCCATTCAGGGATTCCCGCCGAGCAGGGATCCCCATGCGGGGCTCAATCCCAGGACCCTGGGACATGACCTGAGCTGAAGGCAGACGCTTCAGCCACCCAGGCACCCCAAGATCTGAGCCACCCAGGCGCCCCAAGATCCATACTTTTCTAAAGTATAAAACTATGTAATAGCTCTGGGGAGACATACAAGCCTATACTGTCTTCACAACAAAAATGACAGTGTGACAAATAATTTTAGCTTGAGTATCTTAGACATTATAAAAACTGTTTTTATTCCAAATGATCTGGAACTCTAGAGACTCTACCAATTTGTCCTTCCTCTCATTTCCATTGCTTTCGCCCTCTCACGGCAATAACAAAAGATCAGAAGGAGAAAAAGGTACAAAATGTCAGTGTGGGCAATGTTTTTCCATCAAGTCAGGCATGTATAAATGTGAACATATTTGTGGATTTTTCATTGAAATATCTTCCTGCTTTTGGGCTGAATCTGTAAATAAGACATTCAAATCACCAGATAACAGTATCCATATGGAAACAGAAACGACGTAAAACCAAAAGGGTTACTAAATGTAGATGTAGGATTAGGTTATTCTAATTACTACAAGTCTGATAGTACATTGCTTATAGATTGCTTCTTGCTTCAAAATGTAATAATTTTAGATGTGAAAGTTATCCATCTCTGATGAAAATTCTGGACTACGTTAACATTGAATAAAATATTTATTGTGACTTTTTCTCCTGTGACATAAGATTGTTTATTTTTCCCAGCTCTCCAAATGACACAGTTGCTGAACCTCTTTCAGCTGGTCTTGCCTGAAAATAATGAAAGATTAAAGATATTAGAAATAGATAAATATACAGCTCTACATGAAATCCCTTAATGCCATCATATATTTTTTTTAAAAAACCACCCTATGTAAATAAAAAGTAAACGAAAACATGAACCCACTAGGAAAAATGATTTGTCTTAATAATATTACCTGTGAATCATGGTATTTCCATCCTATCATGTAATAGATCTGATATGTGGCAGGTACTGAACCATCCTCATTTCTGTACATTTCTATAAAGACAAATGATGGTTACAATCTGAAAAAAAATGGAAGTGGAAGAAAAAAATCTGCTCAGTAAAAGTCATGTCCTCCAAAGAGAAATGGGTATTGGGATACTTGGAGGACTTTGAGAATGCCTCACATGAAAAATCCTCAACGCTGAGAAGCTGACAGAAATACAGTTAAGGGCTGTTTGGAAAAAGGATACAGAACTACAGGATCTGTGTTCTGAAAGGAAGGACAAAAATCTGATGATGCCTGAACGGGAAAGGAAAAAGTACTGGCAACGTTAAGGGATAAACACAGTAGGGCACGCGTTCCTCAGTGAGGCACGGGTGGAAAAGACAGCCAGCTCGCTTACCTCTGTACACGGCCGCGGCCGCCAGCATCGTGTCTCGGTGCAGCAGGGCTTTTCTATTCCAAGCACAGTTACTCTCACCCATACCTAAAAATACACTATAGGCAGTTTTAGATAATACCGCCAATAGCTGAGCTGCTCAAAGCACAAATTTAACCTCTTCACATCCAACGGTGTACCCCTCCCCATTCTCTAACAGGTTGTAGCTAGGCTTCTTAGTGACTCTAAAGCAAAAACTACTTGAAGCTTCTGGATATTAAGACCAGAGAAGTCAAATTTCAGGAGGCAAGTCCCAAAGGCATGCCTTACTTGCCAACAGTGGTCTAAAGCAGACCAGCTGGGCAAAAGCAAGGCAACTGACCCTCCACGTGAGTCAGGAGGAGTTAGCAAGTACCTTTCCAAGGATGCCACATTTTATGCCCCTTTTAGATGCTCTTCAGAGGACAGGGCACTGCTACAATGCCTCACTCCTTCTAAGCCATAAATGTCTGATCGTGAAACTTGGGAGAGGGCTCTGAGACTCATTAGACAGTACCAAAACTATGATGCATTTTTAGATTTTACAATATATTACTAATCCCAGATTAGGAAGAAATTACGTGCATTCTTTACAGGGGCACTTTTCTTTATGTTTTAAAATTTAGACTTCTGGGGCACCTGGGTGGCTCAGCATCTGACTCTTGATCTCAGCTCAGGTCTTGATCTCAGGGTTGTGAGTTCAAACCCCGCTTGGAGGGAGCCTACATACATACATATATAAAATTTAGACCTTTTTTATTATTATGTTATATTAATCACCATACATCATTAGTTTTTGATGTAGTGTTCCATGATTCATTGTTAGCATATAACACCCAGTGCTCCATGCAGAACGTGCCCTCTTTAATACCCATCACCAGGCTAACCCATCCCCCCACCCTCTCCCCTCTAGAACCCTCAGTTTGTTTCTCAGAGTCCATAGTCTCTCATGGTTCATCTCCCCCTCCGACTTTCCCCCCTTCACTCTTCCCCTCCTGCTATCTTCTTCTTCTTCTTTTAACATACAATGTATTATTTGTTTCAGAGGTACAGGTCTGTGATTCAACAGTCTTTCACAATTCACAGCGCTCACCATAGCACATACCCTCCCCAATGTCCATCACCCAGCCACCCCAACCCTTCCACCCCCCACCACTCCAGCAACCCTCAGGTTGTTTTCCTCCTATCAGTGAGGTCATATGATACATGTCTTTCTCTGATTGACTTATTTTGCTCAGCATAATACCCTCCAGTTCCATCCATGTCATTGCAAATGACAAGATCTCATTCCTTTTGATGGCTGTAGTTTTTGATGTAGTGTTCCACACAATTCCATTGTGTGTGTGTGTGTGTGTGTGTGTGTGTGTGTGTGTGTGTGTGTATACACTACATCTTCTTTATCCGTTTATCTGTTGATGGACATCTTGGCTCTTTCCACAGTTTGGTTATTGGGGACATTGCTGCTATAAACATCGGGGTGCACGTACCCCTTTGGATCCTAACATTTGTATCTTTGGGGTAAATACCCAGTAGTGCAATTGCTGGATCGTATGATAGCTCTATTTTCAACTTTTTGAGGAACCTCCATACTGTTTTCCAGAGTGGCTGCACCAGCTTGCATTCCCACCAACACTGTAGGATGGTGACATCCCTGCCAACATCTGTCGTTTCCTGACTTGTTAATTTTCGCCATTCTGACGGGTGTGAGGTGGTATTTCATTGAGGTTTTGATTTGGATTTCCCTGATGCCGAGCGATGTTGAGCACTTTTTCATGTGTCCGTTGGCCATTTGGATGACTTCTTTAGAAAAATGTCTGTTCATGTCTTCTGCCCATTTCTTGATTGGATCATTTGTTCTTTGGGTGTTGAGTTTAATAAGTTCTTTATAGATTTTGGATACCAGCCCTTTATCTGATATGTCATTTGCAAATATCTTCTCTCATTCTGTCGGTTGTCTTTTGGTTTTGTTGACTTGTTTCTTTTGCTGTGCAAAAGCTTTTTATCTTGATGAAGTCCCAATAATTCATTTTTGCCCTTGCTTCCCTTGCCTTTGGCGATGTTTCTAGGAAGAAGTTGCTGCGGCTAAGACCTCTTAGACTTTTTTTTTTAAGATTTTATTTATTTATTTGTCAGAGAGAGAGAGAGAGAGCACAAGCAGGAAGAACAGCAGGCAGAGGGAGGGGGAGAAGCAGGCTCCCCACTGAGCAAGGAGCCCCATGTGGGGCTCGATCCCAGGACCCCAGGATCATGACCTAGGCTGAAGGCAGATGCTTAACCGACTGAGCCACCCAGGCATCACTAGACTTTTTTCTTCAAGTTGACAGCTAAAAGCTAGGATTCATATTCTTCTACTGTTCATTAACAATTAGTGCTGTATATTTTATTTTTTTGCATATACTAAAATTCCTTTGAGGCCACATTGTAAACTAGTCCACGAAATCAAAACAAACTTCAAAAGTAAAAATCCTTTATTATTTATTCTCTATATACTATACCACCAAAAATCAGTTCTTACTTTTGTTTTTCTTTCACAAAAAAGCCCCAATAAACTTCCCAATATCAGGTGTTCTTTAGAAGTTTAAAAATAATAATCTTCCAAGTTTTCAATGGCCTTATTAAAAACAATCAACAAATCAGCTGTAGTAAGTGAAACTTTTTTCTCTTCTCCAATGCCAAAATGTTCCTACTATTCCTTAAAATAATGAATCTCTGATACTAAAAGCAATGTCCAGCATCCTATGAATACAACAGCCCCAATTCATGAAGAACAACAGATATACAAACTAGACTGTCATGAAGAAAAAGGTGGATCTTATTCTTGCTGTCACAGTGCAGCTACACGACCTTAGACCAATCGCTATGGGTCTTCTAGGTGGCCAGACCAGATGATCTCTGAAGGCTTCTATAGCTAACATTACAGACCCATTAGTACATAATCTGATTTAAAAACATTCTCCTATATTGTATCAACCCATATCAAGTGACCAGAGGTAAACTGGGAGTTGGACTGAAAGAATCTATTGTTGATGATGGCTGCGGTGCTTTCATTTCTGTTCACCTTCTCAGTGCCATGACTTATTACACCTTAGATACAGGCAATACCAGTGGAAAACAGGTTTAATTTATTTAATGTAAATACTTAATACATGAGGAGGGAGGGGGGAATACTTAATACACTAGAAATTCTAAAATGCCTTTTAGAAAATTGGTATTAGATACATTAAGATTATTAGGCATAATGTTCTCTCTGATATAGAAATTCAAGAGCACTACTGCATAACACTTATAGTCAGTAACTCTGCTGCTTGCCTCACAAGAGAAGCATTCCACCATACCAACCTTCCTTTCTCCTCGTGGTAGCAGTGTGATGTGGTGCAGAAAGTCTAGACTTTGGGATCATAATGCCAGTTCGGATCCTTAAGTAATCTAGGGCAACATCACTTAACTCTAATTAAACGGTTTTATCATCTTCAAAATGGAATGAGAACACTTCAAAATGTATCATGGTAAACCTTTACTGAAGACCACCTGGGAAACACATTTAGGAACTTCTGACCAGCTCTGGGCTTTGGGATAACAGAAAAATCCAGGAAGCAAGTGACTTTTTAAGACTCTCACAGTGTTTTTAAGGTTAAGTTCAACTGCTTGTATAAAAATCTAATCTATTATGCTTTAGGAGGAACAATACTGAGTACTGTCTTTAAAAAACAAACAAACTGAACTTACCTTAAAACTACTGTGAAAGCCTCCAAAACTTTTCATGCATTCATCAGCTGATACACAACTTGTTTTGTAAAATAAGGTCAACATTCTGGACTTTTTTCTGTGAATTAATAACAATGGCAGCTCAAATGAGAAACACTACAACCATCAAGAAAAAAGTGTAACAATATAAAACACCAAAAACCAATTTGAAGGCAACACCATCTTCCAGTAGGCAAAGCACACCTGGAAGTAGTCACCCAAGCTCCTTCCCCTCCTCCATTCATCCCTGGACCACTCTCCTTCCCATCTCAGCTGCCTCTGACCTTTTAAAGGCAGAGTGGTTGAGATTTCAGAATGAGTTAGGCTGCTACACTGGACTTAAATCCTTGCTCTATCACTTATATCACCTTGGACAAGTTACTTAATTTCTCTCTATGCCTCAGTTTACTCATGTGTAACAAGACAGATGAACTATATTAGCTCTAGTTTTACCTTCCTCATAGAGTATGCTTTATGAACAATGCTGGAGAATGAGCTTTTTAACACAGTGATCTGACAGTCTCTCCTTCGCATGAAATTCTCCCCCTATAGTACCAGGCTCACCTGATAAAATCTAGAAGCCTCTGGTGGACTATCCTGCATCATTTCCCATCATCTCTCCACACTAATATTCAAGTGATACAGAATTACTGTAGAGTTTCTTAATTAGGAAAGTGAACGAAGTTGTGTATTCTCTTGCATCTCCCTGATTTTACACGGACCATTCCCTTGGCTTGGAAGGCAATGCCCCAAACCTGTACCACTCACTCACTCTCCTGGCAAACTTATTTTAGCTTAGGTCCTGCCTCTTCTGCAAAAGCATCCCTGATATCCTAAGCAGATTTAGGGATTCTGTTTTTCCCTATACTTTAAAACACAATTACCTCATTTTACAGTTAAATGCCTATGTCTATCTCTATGTCTCTACTACAGCACAAGCTACCTGAGATAAGGAACTATGTATTTTCATCACTGGCTCAATAGTTGGCACATGGTAGATGTTCAATAAATGGTAAGTGAATGATTATAAAATCAACCATTTAATGTTTATATCTACTTTGTTAAATATCACTTTTACTAGTTATCTTTACATAATTCTTAATCCTCCTAAAGATAAGAGACTCAAAGACTAGAATATATGATTTATGTAAAAGGCTTAACAGTAAAAATAAGAGAAGCACTGGCAAAGCCTCTTAAGGTAAATATTAGGCAACAGGTCCTCAAAATAGATGATCTATTTAAAACCCTTGAGAGAAGCGGGGGTTATCAACTGGATAGTGGCATGAGGCAACCTTCTGAGGGGGCTGGAAATGTTCTAGTCCTTGTCTGGATAGTGATTAAAAATACAAGCAACTATACAGGTAAGATTAGAACATTTTACTATAATAACTTCAATTAAAAAAAAAATGCACACAGATCAAGTAGGCAGTATTGGACTGAATTCAAATCCTAATTCCAGTTCCAGTGTGACCATGAACAAGATACCTAACTTTTCAATGTCTCATTTGCTCATTTGTAAAATTAGGATATCAGAAAATGTCACAGAACTGCACCCAGCACAGAGTAAGTTCTATATTTTTAAATCAGTGGGTAGTAACCTTTTCCAACTGATGCATCCCATTTCTAGTCTCTTTCTTGCTTCTCTCTTGAAATGAATCATGAGCATAGCATTTATTATATAGCAGAATAAAAATAAATGCTGCATTTGAGAAATATTTTTATCATTAGAGTCTGAATGATACATCATCGGCCCACCACCATCTCTCAAGTCTTTGGATGAAGGGACTCCGTGATTATGTCATGGGAAGCCAAGTGTTTGGGGCAATGCTTGGGAGGGGATGTGTGATTTATCACTGATCCCCTGTCATCTCAAACACACACACTATAAGCTGCCAATCCCTGTATTAATTTATAATGAACAAAGAGTGACTACAGTAGTAAGTTTTCAGCTACATACCTTTCTCCTTATAAAGCCAACAGAAGTGCCATTCTCAGAGGAGGCTGGATGATGGGTAAAATGGACTGTTATAAATGGGCAGCCAAAAGAAATCAGGTCAGGTAAGAGACTGCCAGAGCAGGAGTCAAGAAGGCAAGAGCTTGGCACCTAATTCTGCCATTAACAGGCAAGTGTTCCCTTTGGGCCTCATATTCCTCATTGTAATACAGATATAAATAGTTACCAGAGGACTACTGAGAGAAGCAACTGCAATAGCGTTTAAGAAAAGCTATAAATCTGTAAATAACTGGAAGCTATTTAGTCTTATAAATCTCTTGCTTAAATCATCTTCATTTTTCAGGATCCAGATTAAAGTTCCCCTAGGTAAGCACAGTTCTGGTTTCAACGAACACACCTTTAATTGCTTCAGCTTCCTTCATTCAGCAAAGCTGCCTATGCCATTTGCATAATAAAAAGTAAAAGCTCATAATCTCTTAGGCAAGTCAAAGCTCTCCTTGGAGAAAATCACTTCTCCAGCAGCCCACTTGGTGGCAGATGTGTGTATGTGCGTACCTTACCTCTTTCAGAATTGGGAGGTAAGGGTTTGTATCCTTGTTGTTCCTCAAAACCTCTTCCAGGCCATTTTTTCTCTAACTTGTTAAAAACAAGGTGAGACCCACACTATTTGGCCGTCACCCTCTCCCACTCCTGCTTGCTGTCAGACACAGACATCAGGCTCCCAGTCCCTTTTCTCATTCATCAGAGGATTGGCACCTGGTTCAGGTTCCATCTGTTCCCCAAGTCCTGCCACCACCCCAGGTTAATAATCACCAGTACCATGGTCTCTGAGATTTTTTAGTCTCCCCACCATTAACGATTCTCCGTTACTCTGCCTCTGCCATCACATCTCTAATACATCCAGACACGTCCTTCTTCTACTCAGTCACTGTCTATTAGGTTCCTAATGGCTCAGTATTTGGCCGTGTTCTCTTCTCACCTCATGCTCTCATTCCAGGCAATTGCTTCAAATACCACCAATTCACAAATGACTCATATTTTAACCAGGCAATCACCTCCTCTAAAACAACATACCCACACACCCAGCCACCTACTTGACATCTCCCCTTAGACATTTCACAAGCACTTCAAACCCAAAATACCCATATGTGAACACAAGAGGTGTCCCTGTCCATACTTGGTCTTCTTCTACTGTTTTCTCTGTCAATGAAGGGGCACCATCCATCTGGTTATGTGAGCCAGAAACTCAGCAGTTATGTTTGAAATAGCTCTCTCCCACCCACATGTAACCCATCAGCAAGGACTGTTAGATTTACATCGTAATTATCTCTAGAATCCATTCACTTGTCTCAAATCTCCACTGCCACCACCTTAGTCCAGGACACCATCATTTCTCAATAAGCTTTACAGCAACGAGTCTCCCTACTAGCTGATCTGCCAATCCATTTTATCCAAAATGCAAATCTGATATCATGACTTCCCCCCTCTCCCCCTCCATTAAACGCCTCAAAGGGGTTTTAAGATAGAGACAATCTCAACAGGGACTATACAGTCCTCATTTACTCACCAATTTCATTATTTAATTCTCTCCTTTTTATTCCCTATACTCTAGCCAAAATGCCCTTTCAGTACTTGCCATGCTCTTTCTTGCTACAGAGCCTTTGCACATGCTACTCTCCCTGCCTGCGACTCACCTCCCTCCCCTCTTCACCTAGTTAATTCATCTTCATTTTTTAGAGCACAATCACCACTTCCTCAGATAAGACTTTCGTTGACTCTGACTAGGAATTATCCCTTTAATAAACCCCAATCCTACACTAACACAACTACCCGCTTTCTTGTGCCTAGACCTGAGCTGCCAAGTGTTGTTGGAAAAAGTCACTGATGTGCTCTACCTGCCTCAGATGCACCCTTCAAGAAAGTTCCGCCATCTTTTTAGAAGCAGCCATAGCACCATGCACCTCCACTTTGTAGCACTTACCACAATTCTAATTTAACATTTATCTTTATGGCAGATGCGTGATGTCTGCCTTGCCCATTTTATTTTATAAGCTCCATGAAGACAGTCTGCCTTCTCCTCACCAATGTATCCCTAGTGCTTAGCCCCAGTACCTTCCATTGAGTCTGCTCTCAAAATATGACTCTCAAAAGGAGACTAAACATTCTTTAAAGTACGTTACCTTTTAAATCTTCCATCAATTCAAACATCCCAGGATAGTTAACTTGAATTTCATCAGTATCCTATTTAAAAAGAAAAAGGAATATTCATTTGACATTCATCATAAAAGACCCAGATTTGAAAACGGGCCACAGAGATTACCCAGACCAATTTCTCACGGTAAACAGGAATGTTCTTTATAATAATCTTTACAGATGTCATCTAGTTTATGCTTGATATATGAAAATGTCAAATTGCAGAATATTCACTATTCTAAGATTCTAATTCTAATATTCACTTCCTAAAATTACTCCATCAACCCCGCTCCAGTTCTCTCCCTGGGAACAACACAGAACAAGTCTATTTTGTATCTGCAAACCAACACCCTCTTCTTCAAGTCTTTGAACTTTTCCAGGATACTGTTAAGGTTTTAGATGGAGGGGTTAGTCTTCTGGACAAAATTTATAGATTTATAGATCCTTACACATCCTTACTGCGTTACTATGTATGTTGTCAGAATCAGTCTCTTAAAATGTGGCACCCAGGGGCACCTGGATGGTAGAGTCATTAAGCATCCAAATCTTGGTTTCAGCTAAGGTCGTAATCTCAGGGTCGTGAGACTGAGCCCCACATTGGGCTCTGTGCTCAATTAGGAGTCTGCTTGGGATTCTCTCCCCCCACCTTCCTCTCTCTAAAAATCTTAAAAAAAAAAAAAGTGGCACCCAAAATCAAGCCAAATAGGGTCATCTCCCAAGATGTTTCCAATCTGCTTCTAGTAATGCAGCCATACTGCACTGGCTCACCTGGGAGACAGGCACACCGCTGGCACATACAATTTATTTTTCAAACGGACTTCTGGGCAATTATGTTCCATTCTTTCTGAAGCCTAATTACAAGAGTTTATGGTTGGTACAGTGGCAGAGACTAATGCTCCCCAAATATCCAGGTGCTCCTGATACTTTCCAGCCCCCGAAAGGCATTTCTTCTGGCCTACCACAGCAAAAGGAAAGGAAAGAGCAAGGTAATAAAGAACTAGTGAGGCTTTTCCAGGCCATCCCTTTGGCTGTAGTAACCTCAGAAGATGAAAGGGCCAGGTGGCACAACTATGGGATGGAGATAAGCTGCCCAACCAGCACAGGGCTGTGATATGATAAAATTCTGTGTTAAGCACATAATCTTTACAGATGTCATCTGGTCTATGCTTGATATATGAAAATGTCAAAGTGCAGAATAAATATTCACTATTCTAAGAGAAATCTTCCTGAAGATTCCTAATCTTTAGATCTCCAAAAAAAATTCCCTATATTGGGAATGAGCCCCCAAATACAGGACACATACTTTTTTCCCAAGTTTGGTATCAAAATGCTGCATGTAACTAAACCTTCATCTTATTTGCATTAACCACTTTTGAAGTGTCTAGATCTTTTTGTGTTTTGTAACTTTATCTGATGTGTTCACTATTCCTCCTGATTTTGGACTTTAATGTTGAACAGAATCAAGTATAAAGCCCAAAGAACAATTATCAAAAACATCCATTCTAGAGGTGCCTGGGTGGCTCAGTCGGTTAAGTGTCTGCTTTCGGCTTAGGTCATGATCCCAGGGTCCCATCAAGTCCCATGTCAGGCTCCCCGCTCCGCAGGAAGTCTGCTTCTCCCTCTGCCCCTCCCCCCCCACTCGTTCTCTCTCTCTCTCAAATAAATCTTAAAAAATCCATTCTAATTCCCAGACAAATGCAAAACAAAATGACCACTATTTTTAATCTTAAAGATACAAAACAAAGTATAAGCAAGAGTTCCCATATTCTTATATTGTTGATGGGGCATATAAATTGATGCTATGTTTGGAAAGTCATCTGACCCTATCTGTCAAAATTTCAATGTACAGATTCTTTGACCCAGCAGCTCTGTTGCTAGAAATTGACCTGACAGATGTGCCAAGATTATGTGAAAGGAAATACATTGCAGCACTGAAACAGCAACAAAACAACAATGAAAAACCAAAAAACTAGCTGTAAGTAATCTAAATGTCCAATAGAGAACTGATTAAATTATATCTATTTAATGAAATACCATACAGCTGTTAGAAAATGTGGTAGATATTGTAAGGGAAGATCTCCAAGATACGCTACTATGGCGCCTGGGTAGCTCAGTCCATTAAACGTCTGCCTTCAGCTTAGGTCATGATCCCAGGGTCTTGGGATCTAGTCCTGCATCAGGCTCCCTACTCAGCAGGGAGTCTGCTTCTCCCTCTCCCTCTGCTCCTCTCTCTGTCAAATAAATAAATAAAATCTTAAAAAAAAAAGAAAAACGTATGCTATTAACTGAAAAAACCCTTGAAGAGTGCTTATAAAAGCAACAGAGTGTATATACCGTTGCATACGCAGGTTTAAATGACATAATTGTATAGTGGTCTATGATAAAAAATTGTTCTGAAAGGATATATACACAACAATGGTCATCTTTGGGGAGAGGGACCAGGTATCAGAAGTCAGGAGGAGGAGACTTCTTTTCACTTTAGACCTGCTCTGTTTATCTCATTCTAACTATACATTTCTTTTAATTTCCTTTTTCTTGTTAACATATGCATGACCATGTTGTATGTGCACTTTTTAATAAGACCATCTCTGGGTAGTCAATTTCTTCTCTGTATTTTTCTACGTTAGGAAACTATTTTTTAAAGAAATCATAAGATTAAAAACAAAATTCCTTCCAGCCCAATACCTAGCTATTAAGCAATATCCTTCAAAAACAATCTTTCAATGAAACTAAAAGCATTATCTCCATCTCAATCAAAAGAATACCACAAGAGCTTTGTCAAAGTCCTTATTCAAATTAAGATGGACCATATCTGCAGTTTTCTCCTAATATATTATCTGGCAACTCTATTCTAAAAGGAAATGAGCCTCATTCAGAAGGCCCACTAACTCTGAAAATAATTCACTATGAAAGTCATATAAATGTAAACAGGCAAATCTTGAATTCACCTTAAAAATAAAAATCCACTGCAGTATAAAAATGATATACCTAATGTTGTATGCACCATAAACCTGTATAACTGATTTTATAAGCTTTTGGGATGGGATTTTTTAGAAAATGAATTATGATACAATGTTAATACAGCACATTAGAGACAGTGTATATGTATCAAAGAACAAATTTGTCTATATTATTAAATCATCAACTCTCTTAATTTTTATAAACCACAAAGATTCCACACCAATATTTCTGTATTATCTTAATGTTTGAGTTATTCAGCTCATATTTAAAAAATGAGAAGGTATTTCCATAATAGATTTCCCAACTAACAGAAATGTAGGATTTTAAGTGCTATGTTAGGTTAAACATTTTTAGTAGGAAATTTTAAGATTTTATTTATTTATTTATTGAGCATGCACATGCTAGCAGGGGGAGGGGGAGAGAGAATCTCAAGCAGACTCTGTGCTGAGTACAAAGCCCAATGTGGGACTCGATCTCACGACCCTGAGATCCTCACCTGAACCAAAATCAAGAGTCGAACACTTAGTCGACTGAGCCACCCAGGGCTCCAGCAGAAATTTTTCTAAAATGCACAGTCCACTTTACAACCATAGAAAGAAGCAAGAAGACACACTTTTGGGGGTCCACAAAGTCAAAACTATTCTTAAAATAATACTAAGATGCTATTTGGCTTTTTCACCTCTCAGTCTCTCACGAGTACACTGAATTTTTCCTAAGTTACGTGACATGTGATATTCTCATAGACAGTCTTATGACTGCAGAAGAAGGCATGAGAATTGAGCACTTTTATTATGTCATACGTTAAAGAAATTTGTAAAAATGTAAAGCAATGACATTCTTCTAATTTTTTCTTTTGGAAAATAGTTTCTTTCTTTCCCCACAAAAAATGGATGTTTTATGTTAACACATAATAGGTACACTATTGTTAGTTTTAAACATATTAATACTAAAATTGTTTCAATTTCTAATTTGGTTAATATTAATAGATATAACCCACATAACAAAAGCTCTCTAAGGTCCTCAAGAATTTTAAGTGTGTAGCAAGGTCCTAAAAACAAAATTTTGAGAGCCGTGGCTCATAGGAGAGAACTAAGATTTGGGGGATTAAAGACGAATGACAAATTGTCAATTTATCTCTACAGTTTAATGTTTACAACCAAAATGTATTTGTTATTACTTATATAATTAAAAAATGTTGAAAAATATACAGTGATCCCTCTTGTACAATTGCCTGTGTTTGCCAGTGTTTGCTTTAATTACAAAGCAGCACCCTCACATGAGGCAGAGCTTTCCCCTTTCCAGCCGCCAACAGCTGACTGTTGTTTTGCTGACTCAGGCCATTAGCAGTTTACAAAAGACACAGCTGTGAAATCTTGAAGGTTGCTGTCATTTCCTAGCCTACTGTCTCTTCCCTTCTTGAGGCTCCTTTCCGACCTCAGAGACCCTCATGGTCTATGGTCTATGCGCCGTGCTTTCTACCAAAACAAGGAAGGACGGGACAATCTTTTCTTGGTTGGTTGATTTTATGAAATATATTCACATTAAATCTCCTTAAATGGTTATTTCAATCTTAAGCCTATCATCAATGAGAAGATTTCTTTATCAGGAAATTCCTATTTCCTCTAGAATAGAGATGTGTTTTTAACCTGAGGGGTTTGGAAAATCATAGCAAGTCTACCTAACTGACCTCTGAAGGCAGTAATGAAAATCCTTTAGAGTGACCATACTAATGAAAGGAGCTAGAAGGGGTAACCACTGTCTGTCTAGATGACTCGCTGTTGGAAGCCTTGGATGGCAAAGTACTAGGAGTATGAGGAGGGGGAGAGCGGAAGGCAGGAGCAAATATTTATTGAGCATCTATCACGGTCCTGGCACTTCACACCCTTTATCTTAATACTAATAGCCACCTGAGGTGAGAAACATTTGAATTCCTTTTAAAAAAAATGAATGCTCACAGACAAGAAGTAAATCTCCCAAATTGCCCTAGCTAGTAAAGGGGCAAGACAAGGAACCAATGCCCCGTACCATCACTGTACCACGCTGACTCCACGTTTCTTCTGACAGCCTATAGGTCCTCTTTCCAGATCTCTCTAGCCCTAATGGTGTATAGCCCCCTTTCCTACATTCTCTACCCTTGACCATAAATGCACATACCTTCATTTCTGCCTCATACAGCACTATTTCAATTGAGGGCTGGTGGTAGAGGTAGTGCTGTAAATGCTCCTGTACATCCCCTTTTCCCCATTATCTGAACTCTCTCATATTATGTGTAACTCTGGATTTAAAGATTCTAATGGAGTAGTAAGTCTTGGAAAACAATCTCCTTGTTAACTGAGGTTTGGGTTTTGAGCTACATATTCAGGTAAGAAATACTAAAAATTTCATGTTCCTACCTTTATCAATCAAGATGTGTTTATACAAACTAAATTTAAAAAGAGAGAAAAAGTGTGAAAACCTTTTCATACCATCGTTACCTACAGATCTCTAATGAGAAGTCGTTTCTGAACTGTGTGATCAATGGGTTAATAAGAATTAATCAACTCTCTTGATACTTACCACAGTCATTGTATTAAAGCCAGCTCTCCCAAGCAGATGTCCTAAGTCATTGAGAGCAGTGAAAGGAGAAACATGTGGAGAAAATCCTCCTTCCCTTTCTGTTTCTGCTAACTGTAACGAACACCGAAGTTCATAGAGTGTGTCACCTCCAAACATTGCGCCAATAAATACTCCATCTGGTTTTAAAACGTAATGAATCTGTAATAAATACAAGACAACAAAATTAGTTAAAATTTTATACTAAAAAAAATTAGGATAAAAAATGTTAAAAGAATAAATATATGCTGTCTAAATCAATATTTTACAATCACCGTTATTTTGTCAAATAATCAGAAAATTTAATAAATAACACCTAAGGCAACTAAATGTCAGAAAGAAACTGCTGCAGCATATTATTATAAAGATGGACAATAATTCATTGATAGTATTAATACCTATAAAATGTTGTTTTCAACTTTTCTAATAATAGACACAAATTACTTTTATAGTAAGAAAAATACTGAAAGAAAAAAATTTAAAGTGTGGTAGGTTGCAAAAATCACAAACCTCTACTGTGCCCTTTAAATGTCACCCCCATCAAACAACTCCCATCAAAAAATGAAGTCTACTTCCCCTCTCCCTGAATCTGGGACAGCATTGTGACTTGCTGCGGCCAAAAGAATGCAGTGCAAGTGCCAGTGTGCCAGTGTCACAGCAAAGCTTGAAATGGCCTTCCATGAGTCCCTGTGCTGCCACCATGCTGTGAACAAGGCTGAGCTAGCCTGGTGAGGGGTGAGAGACATGAGCAGCAGAGATCACTCAGACACCCCAGCTAAGGCCATTCTTGAGAGGCTAGCTTCAAGACAATCTAGCAGCAGATCACAGACACTGGCTTTGTGAGCCAAGCCAGACCCAGAAGGATTTCCTATCTACGGCCAACCCAAATTCCCACCCGATCCACAAAATCCTGAGCTGTTGTTTTAAACCGTTAAGTTGGGGTGGCTTTTTAGCAGAAAAAGCTAATTTATACAGAAATTATTGTGATTCACAAGATTAACCTAGTCAAACATTAGTTTCCTTGAAGGAGAAGTAACTAACTTATTTCCCAACTTTAAAACAAAAGCAATTTTTAATTGGTAACTCAAGCAAAACAGTGACTGTAATGGCTTCCAGAATCATAAATGTTTACTCACTGACTCTCTTAGAACTACCATCTGAAACTAGATTTGATGGACTATTCTCAACAATGAGGAACGTTACAGGAAAAGGTAGATTCTGAAGTAAACGCCAAATCATAGTAGGCTCTCTCATCAAAGTATCCATCCTGAATTTATAGTTAATAAATTATGAAGCAATTATGAAACAGTATATAAGCAAACTATAAAATCTTTGCTTTCTTCCCTCTGCCCCTTTAGTGTTGCTTCCTTCCCTTGTCACCAAACTGTAATATAGCAGGGATCTAAAATTCAGTCCTCAGCTCTCTGCAGCTTCTTTCTACCTCAGAGGGGCTTATCGATTCCCATGAATTTCACAAGGATGATTTCCAATCACTATCTTTAGCCTGGACATCTTCCCAGAACTCTAAACTCATTTTCATCTGCCTGTGCCATGGATATTTGTCTCTTGGCAAACTCATCCTCCCAACACAACCAACACACACACACACTTATTCTCAAACCCACTCCCCTCTCCAATTGCCATATTTCTGTCAAGTACCATTTTCCATTCCCTTTATCTGATCATTACCATTCTTTCCCCTGCTTTTACTAATTATTCTCTCAGGCAACCAGACTCAAAACTTTAAGGTGAGCTTGGACTCCTCCCTGATCTTCAGAGCTAACCAGCCACCAAACTGTTGATTCTTCCTTTACAGAGTCCCCAATACTCTCTCTTCCTGTTAACTCCTGCCACTGTCACCTAGCTTCAGTTTCTCTCATGCTTGGATCATGGAAACAGTCTCTTTAATTGAACCAAAACTTCCAGTATCAGTTTTCCAAGTAGCAAAATAAAGACATCTTATAGAGTTATTTATTTAATGCACATATAAAGCAGGGCACAGTGCTTAAGATATGGTAGCTATCCTGCCTGCCAGCCTTTTAATCATGTCACTTTCCTCTTCAAAATCCTCCACAGCAGCTCTGAATTGCATAAAGAATGAACTCTAAATTCCTTAATCTGTTACCCAAACCTTCCTAAATCTGGTCCCAAGATACTTTATCTCCCAGTACTACACTAATTTCCACAGAGGCTTCCTTTCTGTCCCTTCATGCTTCTGAGGCTCTTATATCTCCCACCTATCCCGTGATTCTGCCTTCCCACCCCAAATCTGACCTATTCTCTAAGGCTGTGCTAAACTAATTCCCTGTTCTTGAAGCTCTCCTAGGCCACTCCAAGCCACTGTGATCTCCTTCCCTCTTCTAAACACAGTGCTTTTTATCTACTCCTCACCAGTCCACTGATAAATGCTACCCAACAAACATACCTCACACTCTCTAATTATAAGTCACAGGGAAGATACAAATATGAATAGGTTCCTACCCACCGAAAATTTATAGGCAATTAAGAAAAGGGGCCCACACAGAAAATGTCTTTTATCAATGTGATGTTAATATCATTTTGTCCAAGTCATTTTGTATAACTTTTCATAAATATTTAAAACATCTCCATAATTAGATTTCTTGAATTCCTAGGCAAGGGAGTCACTCAATGTACTTCTTAATATACCAAAGGGCACCAAGTGTATCTGGCCTACAGAAGATAATAAATACTTGATTTGCTTTCATTTCCAACTATCAGAAGTATAAAGTGGAAAATATTTGGAAGATTCTGATAAAAACAGAAATATTTAGGAGTTTCTAATAATAAAATAACACAGGCTATTAGAGAATTTCTTACCTGTTCAAGCGCTCTAGGAAGGTCATTCACCCAGTGTAAACTAGAATATTAATAACATTTTGGTTTTAGCTTAATTCATATAATTAGTATAATTATCACTCATATAAAGAAAAGCCATCAAAAAGGTATTAATTTTGAAGTCTAAAACTGCATATCAAAATTCACTGATTGTTTTCATACAAGTTTTAAAGCAAAAAATATTTCTAGGGGAAAACCTTCCTTCTGTGACATGAGAAAACGTTACAGTACTATAAATACTATATAGTATTTAGAACTTAATTTAGGAAATCTCTTGCATTTTTTTTTTTTTTTTTTTTGCCTCTACTCACCCCTTACCAGTGCGTGATGATATGTGATGGCAAGAATCACAGTCTTTGTAGAGTTTGGTCATACTTTCCTGACAGAGGTGGCATCCTCCTATGTTGACTTCTAGGATAGCACTGAATACCCATTTCAAATCATACTGTGTTAAGCTCACATTTATCTTTCATGATGCTTTGTAACAATTATTAGATACTTTAGAAATTAAGAAGGTCATATCACAAGCTCTATTATACTTATGGGGAAACTGAAAGCAACAGAATTAGGTACTTGCAAACAGCAAGCAGAAAAGCTAAAACTCACATTCTAGCTCCCGGCCCGGGGCTCTTTCCCTGAGACCAACATTCTCTGTAATGTTTTTCACTTCATGATAGAATGTGAATAATTTTCTAAATTTGCTAAGCATACCTTAAAAAGCATGGAAGAAATTACAAACTCACTGAAGAAAACAGATAAAGTGCAACTCTCCCAGTTTGTCTGGGAATGAGGAGTTCCTGGGATATAGGCCTTTCAGTGCTAACACTAGCGAAGTCTTGGGTGAACCACAGTGACTGGTCACCCTAAAAACAGCTATCAAAAGGGCTGTGCTGACATAAAGAGCATGTTGAATCTTTGAAAGAAAATCTGACTGTAAAACAAGATAGGGGAAATTAAGTTACACACAGACTTTTATTTTTCCCTATTAGATGCTGAGTTCTTTGAGGACGGGATCCCTGTCTGCATTCATTTTTCTATTTCCCCAAAGCATCTAGCTCAGAGCCTTGTGTATTATAATCTATTCAATAAACATTTATATGTTTGTATAATCAATGTGGAGGGACATGGTAGGAAGCACAAATGGGAAAACATAACCTTAAGAACCATATTTCTGTGTGGGAGAAAAACTGAAGTTGAAGGAACTACTAGCTTTTCCTTACTTGCCAGACTGAATTTAGAAGAGTGCTCTGATATTTGAATGTTGGAGCCAGTATACTCTTTCCAACTCCTGCCCTCATCAATATGGATACTAAGTTATGTACACTTGGGAGGAAAACCCCTGTATCACAGATGAGCTTTAGCAAATTGAAAAAAAGTTGGGGAGAAAAAAGTTAAGGTATCATCTCCACTAGGGAGCATATAATTCATAATTCTTTACCAGAGAAGTCTTACAGTTTATAAACTAAGAAAACTGGTTTGTGACTTAAAAAAAGTTATTAAGAATTTACTCCATTATCTATTTTCTTTACCCAATAATATTAAAACTGTATACCATAAGTTATTTATAACATACATTTTTAAGAAGTACAAATGGATTACCAACCTTAAACTGCTAACCACCAGGTCAAATGTATTTTCTCTGAAGGGAAGGAACTCTTCATCAGCTAAAACACTGACAGTAGGAATTTCCATTTCTAAGATATTTTTCTAGTGGTTAAAAAAATACAAGTTCAAAATACATTCACAGAGAATCTCAGTTACTAATGCAATCATTGTTAAATTTAGTCAATGTTATATTTACTTGGCAGTTTCTATACCTACCAAAAAAAAACAAACAACCAAACAAAAAAAAAACAAAACAGAGCCACAGAGAAGATCAAGAAGTGTTTCTTAAATGAGAACTAAGACCAGCCACAAAAACTGGCTAATAGTTTGGAAAAATATAAACAGGATACCTATCTCACACCAAAACAAATCTCTGAAAGCTGAAAATTTCAGTGGAATAATTGAAGCCATAAAAGTACTAGATGAAATTATGGGTAAACATTTTTATACTCTTAGATGGTAACACTTTAAGCAAACGTGACTCAAAAGCCAAGAACTGTAAAGGAAAAGACTGATCTATGTGATGATAAATTAATCAAAAACTTCTAAAAACCATAAACAATGTAAACAACACACTTTGGAAAATATTTACAACATAGATGATGAAATTAATATCCCTAAAAAACAAACTCTTAAAACTACCTAGAGTAAGAACACACTAAGGCAACAGTGCAGGTATAGGCACATCACAAAATTACTTACAAATTCACAAATTAAGAAATACCAACAGCCCAAAGACATCAACAGCTATTTGGCTGCATTCAAAGTGCAAATAAAACTATCAGTAAGATTCTACTTTCTGCTTATCAAACCGACAAAGACAGAAAAAATGGCCCAGACCTGCCAAAGAAGAGAAAAAGTGCTTTCATATAATATTATTCTTTTTTTTTTAAAGTTTATTTTATTATGTTATGTTAGTCACCATACAATACATCATTATTTTTTGATGTAGTGATCCATGATTCATTGTTTTCGTATAACACCCAGTGCTCCTAACAGCAGTCTGATGTATAGGAATTTATTTCCAGGGAGAAAAATAAATCAAATGTACCAAGTTGCTTTATATAAGGATGTTCTTCACAGTGCTGGTTATTAAGAAACTAGAAATATAACTGTTCTTCAATAGAAATTTAGCCAAATACACCATGGAATATTCTTATATTGGAATACAATATAGCCATTTAAAAAGGTGGAATTTGTGTGTACGTGTATCATTCATTGATATAAAAGAATGATACCCTGTGAAAAACATGGCATGTTACCATTATACCATTTGTATAAAATTATATGTTGGGAGACAGTTCTACATCTGCAAAGGTGGAGATCAAAATGTCACCCGTGGTTGCCCCCGAATGGTGGAACCAGGGATATTTTCTTTCCCCTTTACATTTCCTGTACTGTTTAATTCTTTATATGTGTTATATATAATCAGAAAAAAAAAAGCTATTTTCATTTTGAAGGAAATAAAAATAAAAAACTAAAAATAAAACCAAGAGATCAGAAATCAATAGTGTTATAGAGCTACCTACCAAAGCATTTTCTGCAATGTCTACTTGGAAAAACTTTCCAACAGTCTCCTGCAATGGAATAAAGTTAATCAGATAATACAAAAACAAAAACCCACTCACAAAACAAAATAACTGTTGAAACTGCTAAAGGACAAAGTGGCAATCATAGAGTCATTTTCAGCTTTGTAAGGGTATTTTTCTGCATTAAAACCAGTATGGTAAACAATTAGCTTTAATAACATATAGTAAGTTACACAGACTTAAATATATGCAACCATGCCTATATTTAACACATTTAACTATATTTAATAAAATACACAACATGGGTGTGAGTAATCAACCTCTTTAGTTCACTCCACTGAATTAAGGCTTATGTGTTAACTTTTCCATAGCACAACATGCTGAGAGCTAGTCCCCACTCCTGGGCCACAAAACACCTGGATGGTTTTCCTGCCTTTCAGTTGTTCCTTCAAAGAGTTTACAAAGAGTAAAGACTTAATAAACACAGACACTTGGGGAGAAGGGGAGCTCACTGGTTTCATTTTCCCTGTTTCATCTCTTCTTTCTTCCTTCCAAGAGCACCGCACCATTTCTTTCCCAGATTAACACCTTCCACTATGCTCTTTTCTCCAGGATTCTGCTCCGCCCATCACCATCCTTATTAATCTTCCATCTCTGTCTTCTGTGTCTCTTTCCCTTACCTTGAAACAGGCATAAGCCTCCGAATCTCTCCTCCCCTCTAACTACCTTCTAGTTGTTTTGTTTGCAATCTACAACTCCAATTCTCATTAATGTCTTTCTCCTCGATTCTTGGTAACCTATTCCCACTTTCACTGCTCTAACAATACTATTTATAAAGATTATTAATGATCTAATCAACTACAACAGCATGTCTGCTTTCAGTCCTACCTTACTTGACCTCTTTGAAGTCCAGCACTGTTGGTGGTCTCCTAGAAACTTCTTCAGTACTTTCTATTCTGCTTCCCCTCCTGATCCTTTCTACTTTGTGCATACTCCCTTCTTAAAGACCTTTCCTGTCCACAACTTGGAAAGGGTACCCTATTATTGCTTGGTCGCTGCTAACTAGTCAAGTGCAACTGGTGTGCAGGTGAATGTTTAACTACAGGCTTCAGAAAAAAAAAAAAGGTGCCCTGAGTTGTAGTGTTTGCCAATTAAAAAAAAAAATTTAGTAAGTTTGATATAATCAAAATCTAAATATGATACAAACTGAATTAAGGAAGACTTTCTTTAAAAATAGTCAAGTTTATTTCTTAAAGTAAATTAAGTCAAAGAATACATATACCTTATTCAAATGTTGTGCTATGTAACCTCTTCCACAACCAACATCCAAAGCAAGGGAAAAATTTCTAAAAAACAGACACAGAAGTTATGTTTTGTCTGTAATAACACAGTCCACAAGACAATTACTAAAAACTAATTTTTCTTAAGTAAAAACATTTTAATGAACACAAGTTTCAAAAAGTTACATCATCTGCCTTTTCTGCCTCACCTTATAAGCTGTTTCTACCAGAGAACATATTGAAGGAGCAAGTCTATCTAGTCCAGACATTCACAGGACCTCACAGTCAACTGGCTTTCCATGAGGTTGCTCCATGATGTGGATTCAAAGAACAAATTTAGTGGGGATATTTTAATTTAATAATATATACAAATAAAGAATGAAAAGAAGCTAACCTAAATTAACATGAAAATACCGGCATACTTGTCAGGAATTTAATTATCCCTTTTTCTCAAATTTGTTGAGGCAGCAAATAATTTAAAAATCATCATGTAAAATACCTTGAAATACTAACATGTTAAACTAAAAACAAAACAAAACACCAACTAAACAGTAGCTAACTTTTACTGAAATCTTAGCAGGTTTGGGGTGCCTGGGTGGCTCAGTCGTTGGGCGTCTGCCTTCAGCTTGGGTCGTGATCCTGGAGTCCTGGGATCAAGCCCCGGATCAGGCTCCCTGCTCGGCGGGAAGCCTGCTTCTCCCTCTCCCACTCCCCCTGCTTGTGTACCCTCTCTCACTGTCTCTCTTCTCTCTCTCTGTCAAATAAATAAATAAAATCTTAAAAACAAAAAAGAAATCTTAGCAGGTTCAAAGCAGTAAGTGTTCAAAGTAAGTCAACCCAAGGTCACTCAACTAATAAGCAGTAGTCAGAACTTGAATTCAGTTAGTCAGAATTTTGACCCAGAATTATTATCCCCCATACTACATTGCCTCCTCTAAATATATGTCATACAAAGCCAGTTCACACATCTAATTGTAAGCCAATTTCATATGACAAGAAAACTTAAAATTTTATCCACTAGTAACATTTTTTATATTGGAACCAAAATTGGCAGTCCTTTTTGAATTTCTGTTAAAAACTTATGTCAAAAATATAGACCACCAGTACACAGCTGGAGAACTGGTGGTAAGACAGAACCATTTATTTACATAATGCCTTCTATCTTGATTGTGAACACAGGCAGTATGACATGGTAAAGTACACAAGCTTTGGGATCAGAAAGACATGATTTAGAATTCTGGGCCTGTAATTTATTGGCTCTGTGACCATGGACAAGTGATTTAATCTTACTGAATCTGTTTCCCCATCTATAAAATGGAAAAGTTACTACCTCCCTCAAGAGAATTTTATGAAATGGTGCATTTAAAGTATCTAGCACAGTACAAATGCTCAACAGAAGTTGGTTATGAGTTGTTATTACCACAGATTATAAGTTTTTTTAAAAGATTTATTTATTCATGAGAGAGAGAGAGAGAGTGTGTGGGCGAGTGCACGAGTGGGGGGAGGGACAAAAGGAGAGGGGGAAGCAGACTCCCCACTAAGCAGGGAGCCCAATCCCAGGACCCTGGGATCATGACCTGAGCCAAAGGCAGACGCTTAACCAACTGCTTAATCACCCAGGAGTCCCCAGATTATAACACTATTAAATGGACTTCAGATACCACAAATAAGACATTTAATAATCTGCGGGGTTAGTTTTTTAAGAATCAACAAAACATCAGTGTGGACAATATAAACTATACTTTGTAAAAATAGAACATTAGTGCAAGGGCATTTACACTGGTATTTTTTTAGACTGGTATTTTTAATAATTTAGTTCCAAAGAGTTAATGTTAGTTTAAGACGTGTTTTTAGCCATAATCACAGGTCTCTCTGTAGATCTATGTTTTGCTCAGTACTATGACATAAAAGATTATAAAATCCATACTGATTTGGAAAATTTAATGTTTCATTTTTAATAAATGGCCTAAAATACAGGCAAATGAATGACTGCAGTACAGAGAACTAGCTATTTGTTTCAGAGCCTTAAAATAATGGAAGTAAACAGATGAAATGGGGGTGATTATTTGTAACAATGAGACATTTTTTGCCATATGAAATCAATTCATCCCAAGATTCTTTTAAGTAGCAAGAATATCTTTAAAAAAATGACTTGAATTTTTGATTTTAAAAAAATTCCCCTTTTATAAACAAATGTAATAAATTCATCCCATGTTGGTCCAATTTAATGGATGTCTTTTAAACAAAAGAGCACACAAAAGTGATTTGCTAACATCACAGAAAAATTCTACAGTAAAGACATTATTTAACCATTATTTATGTGGTTCCTGCCACACAGCTGTAAACCTGAATTTGTAAAATTGTTATGCCTAATACAGAGCAATGAATTCATCAAGGTTTTAATACTTCATTAAAGTGTTCTCTTCTCAAATGTGCCTCTATATAATTGTCATAGAACCCTACTGCCATTAACAATACTTAAGATAAAATGGTCAGTCTCATATAACCTGAGTGGGGAACAAATCTAGGTAGATTTCCTTCACTGAGATAGTAAAGATTCTGTTGTTAATTATAGTTAAACTTTTAAAGCTAGGTTTATTAAATCTTAAAAATTCACAGGTGGTCAATTTTTACCTCCATTTTTGGAGCAATGTTTTCATTACTGGCTTTTAGCCAAATGAAATTGGATCAGTCATTCAGGCTCATAGAGAAGCTATGAGTTGTACTTCTATTCATTCTTTTTTTTTTTTTTTTTTGGCAAAAAGGAAAAAAAAAGGAACACTTGTTCTCCAGACATAAAAAGGGAGAGACTTGGGGTGCCTGAATGGCTCAGTCAGTTAAGCATCTGTGTTTGGCTCAGGTCATGATCCCAGGGTCCTGGGATGAAGCACCACATCGGGCTCCCTGCTCAGTGGGGAGTCTGCTTCTCCCTCTCCCTGTGCCCCTGCTCTCTCTCTCAAAAAAAAAAAAAAAGAACTTAAGAGTGTGATTAAAATCACTAATCCTGGTAATAAATTCCTCCAGATTCTGCCATTCAAGACATTAAGCTCTCAGCATTCAATCTCTTGAATCTTCAGTCAAAGTTAATTGTATTTTATTATGATAATCATCACTTACCTGGCTATGTCGTACACACGGTCTGCAATCTGACTTCCAACCTGAAGGATTACAAGCAGCAATGATGTATATAAGTTGAGTAGGTTTAAAAGAGAAGCAACACTTTTTCTAGTATTCAATAATCCACAATTCAATAAACCTGTGGATTATTACTTATGTTTCAACATGTTGATAAGTACTTCTCTCTATCCCATTTTCAATTTGACCACAAATTATATAAATTTGACCATAAGTTATAAACACCATAAATTAAACTATCCCAGGAAACAAATTCAGGCAAATTACTTCAGAAGTCCATTTAATGAATCCAAGACTAAATATTCATGAATATGTATATATCTGGCTTTTACACTGTATGTTCTATATAAGATTACAAGGATAAGAAGCAACAGGAGCATAACAGATACATTATTGTCCACAGATATTAGCATGAGGTATATGAAAGTGAAAAAATATTGTTAGCTATGGTTTATTACAGATCAATGTATAAATGATCACTTAAAAACTCTATTATTTAGGGGCGCCTGGGTGGCTCAGTTGTTGGGCATCTGCCTTCGGCTCAGGTCATGATCCCAGGGTCCTGGATCAAGCCCTGTGTCGGGCTCCCTTCTCAGTGGGAAGACTGCTTCTCCCTCTCCCATTCCCCCCTGCTTGTGTTCCCTTTCTTGGTGTCTCTGTCAAATAAATAAATAAAATCTTTAAAACAAAACAAAACAAACAAAACTCTGTTATCTGAAGACACCTAAGAAATTCTGTGGAACTACTAAACAAGTAAACAACTTTTCCAAGGAACATGTGCAAATTAGAAAGTCAGCCAAATCTGAAGAAATTGCACTTTATGTTATTCTCCCCAATCCCATCCCAATCTAAAAAAGGCCATAAAGTAGGTGCTTCCTCTTTGCTAGGCTAGCTTCATCTGTCAAGAATAAAGATGTGAGAAATATTCCTCACATTCTACTATTCCTTCATAAACATCCCAGAGTTTCTATTAGGACTTGGAAGTTCAGAACATATGTGTATTTGCTCTGGGGGTAGTAGGGGAAGGGCAAGAGGTATACCAGATCTATACGCTTTGCTTGGAGAAGAGTGGTTAGAAACATACATCTTCTCAGTACAGGTCATTATGAACCCTAAGAACGAACACAGTCATCATCTGGTCAGAGCAAGCTTGCACAGAGCTCAAAAACTGTTTCTTGCTTCGGCTTTAAAGAGTTCACTACACTTAACTTCAATTTTGCTTCATCCTCAAAGAAATATTTACTTAGGCCTGAACTTGGTGCTGTGTGTCCAGAGAGTAGAAACCCTGTTTCTAGTCCACCTGGACAGAGGAAGAGGTCTTTCAAACAAGCACAAATCTGAGATCTTAATTTATCTTAATTACTTTTCCTAAAACATAAATCAGATCCTATCACTCCACTGCTTAATTCAACAGGCTAGGGGCGCCTGGATGGCTCAGTTGGTTAAGTGACCAACTCTTTATTTTGGCTCAGGTCATGATCTCAGGGCTGTGAGATCTAGTCCCAGGGCTGACTCTTCCCAACCCGCCCCCCCAAAAAACAAACAAAACCCATTCAACTGGCTCACATTCCTCTAGAACAGTACTGACCAAGAGAAAAACAATGAGAGCCATATGTGTCATTTTAATTTTCTAATAGCCACTTTTAAAAAGTAGAAAGGAACAGGAGAAATTATTTTTCACATATTTTACTTAGCCCAATATATCAAAACTACAATTTCAACACGTAATCAAGATTTAAAAAAACTGTTAATGATATATTTTGCATCCTTTTTTCACACTAAGTCACTGAAATCAAGTGTATTTTACAGATACAGCACAGCTCAACTGGACTAGCTACATTTCAGGCACTCAATAGCCACATGTGGCCAGAGATTACCACACTGAATGGGCAGTTCAGTTAGACGAGAAAATCCAAAGTTCTTATCTGCAGCCCTAATAACCTGCGCCTTCCCTCTGACCTCCTCTCCCACTCTCTCCTTCACGGAAGCTTCACTGGAGGTCTCAACAAGGTTCTTTCCATCTCAGAAACTCTTCACTTGTCCTTCCCTTTGCTTATAAGGCTATTCCCTCCAGATCTTAGCTTGCCTAATTCCTCATCATGTCGTCTGCCTGAGCGGCCTTCTCTGACCATCGCAGTCATTATACCACTTCACTTTAGTACCTCACCTTACTTCTTTGGCTGAAATTACATTTCTTGTTCACCGACGCCCCCAAGAATGAAACCTCCTGAGGGCAGCGGTCTTACTCTGCCCAGGACAGAGCTGTAACTCAAGCGATATTTGCTGAATGAATGAATAGCACCTTACAAATAACCTCACCCACCCCTTCAGTGATTACAGTAGACGCTGAGACGGGCAGGGCAGCTGCTCAAGGTCACCGGCGGGTGGGGTCAGCTGGGGTCGGTTGGGACCTGGCCGGAGCCCCCGAACCGGCGCCAGAGCTCGGCGCCGCCCTCCCCCACTGCCCCGCGGGCTCACCTCCTCCTTCAGGTAGTCAAACTTCATCGGCTCAGGCTGCCGGGCCGCCCAGTTTTTCTGTTTCCTCTTCAGATCCCGGTCGAAGATATTTAAGGCTCTGGGCGAGGTGCTGCCCGGAGAGACGCCGGAGGCGACCTTCCTGAGGCGGAGGCTCTTTGCTGGGACCCCCGCGGCAGGAGGTCGTCGCCACAAGAGCCAAAGACCGCCCAGCCCCAGCATGTCCAACGGTGACGCCACTTGCAGGTGCACTTATCTTGCGCATGCGCCACCGCGGCTCCGGCGCCTGCGCCGGAGATCGCCGCGGAGGGGAAAGGGGAAGTAGTTTGGCCCAGTTCTCTTGCCATCACGGCGGAGCGTCACGCGGAGGATTGTGGGTGTGTGTCGCACGTGAGACTCGGCGAAAGCTCAGAGGAGGTTAGTGGATTTGGGTTTCCAAGAAAGGCTGTGGAGGGTGCCGAACCAGTCTTTGACAGGGTCTTCTTTGGATTCATAAGGGGTTGCGCCCTTTTTTTTTTTGCCATTCCAGTCTCATTTTTCAGACTTCCTTTGTCCTCTCCAGGGTCCTGTCGAGGGACCTCAGCCCAGTAGCCGTACCCTGAGGTTTGGGGTTAGGAAGGAGATCGCCGTTCTAGGACCACCCTGGTGTTCTCCGCTTTAGAGGGTCGGTAGACGGGAGAGTGGGCTGTGGAGTTGAAGGTGGGCATCGGAAGGTGAGGTCAGGTCACCCATCTCTGTCTGAATATCTGACGTTTATTGAATGCTTTCGTTGTAAACCTATATATGCATTGTCACTAATAGTTGGATGAGATGGTACCTACCTTGTTCCCTATTTGTTCAGAGGGGTAAATGCTTACGTGTGTAAGTGCATCATTGAAACCTATGTGTCTTTTTTTAACGTATAAAAAAATTGTTTTCAAATTTAAGGAAAAAATATAAGCCTTGCTTTCAAAACAAAGCACTGCTACCCTGTTTGATCAGTTCCTTTTTGTTCTTAATAATCGATGACTCGTGGGACGCCTGGGTGGCTCATCGGTTAAGCGTCTGCCTTCGGCTCCAGTCATGATCCCAGGGTCCTGGGATCCAGTGCCCCATGGCCTCCTTGCTCAGCAGGGGAGCCTGCTTCTCCCTCTGCCTGCCGCTCCCCCTGCTTGTGCGCTGTCTCTCTCTTTCTCTCTCTCTCTCTGACAAATGTTTAGATAAAATCTTAAAAAAAAAGTCAATGACTCTTAGCTGTGCAAAAATCAAATCGAGATGCTAAACCCTTACTGTTTTCAAGGGAACAGTACTAATCTCTCTCTCTCTCTCTCTCTCTCTCACACACACACACACACACACACACAGTCTAATTATGTTTTGGGGAGAACCAGCCCACTTGGGCCTTACTTATAGAATAAGAAATTACACAGAGAAGAGATGTTTATTAATAGCTGGGATGAAAATTTATATGGTTTTTGAAGGATGATCGGATTTAAAGAGGGAATTTTGTGAGCTGAATCTGAATTGATTCGAGTCTGTTTAGTTAGGAGA